GGGCTCATTGAGCACGGAAGTCGTTTCGATAAGTTGCAGTGTCTAGCGGACACGCGAGCCTCGTTTAGGCAAAAATCGATTGAACTGTAAATATTTTCAATCTTAATGGGGGAGGGTGTAACGGGATACACGTACCCTGATTACAGGGGTGTGTGTCACACGAGATGTGCATGGTGTGACCACACCCAAACAAGAATACGGTACGGGGCTAGGTAGCCAGTAGTTGTGCACGTATTTAGATTTTACTATATATTTCTGGTATATTTAGGAAAATCTAAACTTTTAAAATCAGGATAAAAAATGGAAAAAAAATCAGTTTTGGATTTTAAACCGAAGATTCAATTAGCCTTGGGATGGCAATAATTACTCTTGGAGTAAGCGGATTGCGATCCGCTAGCTCATACTTGTTTCTTGTAAAGAACGAAAGGTCGGAGACTTACAGTACGCTTCCTCAAGCGCTAAGCTCCGGCAGCCCCGCTGCAGGAAAGGTAATTTTTGAAGCTTTTTCGAATGCGGACATGGATAGCAACACCGACGACAGACGGTCTGTCTCAGTGTGTTGATCAATATTGGGAAAGATCCGGTTGGGTTCAAGTCTAAGTATCAGAGAATCGTCACACTAGGTTCCGCAGAAGCAGAGTATATGGCACTAAGCTTGTGCGCACAAGAAGATTTTTTGACGCGCGCAATGCGCAAGGACAAGGGTCAAGAACAAGTGGGAGGCACGCAAGTATGGGAAGACAATCAAGGTGCGATAGCTTTGGCAAACAATGCGGGCTACCACGTACAAACACGCGGACATTAGACATCACTTTATTCGGGAGAACATTTAGAATGGATTACTCAGGATTGGCTACATCGATACAAAGCGTTAGCTTGCAGATATGCTCACCAAGGTACTTGGGACCAAGATGTTCAAGTTTCTGCGAGAGGCAACAGGCATCAAGACCAGGTCAACAACAAAGCACACTCAATATTAGCGGTGAGTGGGAGTGTTAAGTTTACACCGCTGAACGGCATGTGGATGACGTCACAAGGATTACGACCATGTTTACAATTACTATCATAATAACGGATGCTGGTTACGGACATAATGGTAGTCCTTCATTGGTCTAGATAATTGAGATTACTTCAAGAAGCTTCTAGAAGGATCTAGAGAGACAGGCTTAGATGTCGTACAATGTTAGCAAACTAAAGACCTAAATATATTCATTTGGGTTTTTGTCTCATCTTTACAAGTTCATCATTTCGCTCAGCGATAATGCAACTGGCGAGGATACAGCAAAGCTGTTCTCGACAGGGTGTTTTGCCCCTGCCAATATTCGTTGTACCGGGTAGAAATCGACGCTTTAGAAAGAAGTTTTGGTAAACATTTTATAAAGTGCTCGGTACCAGATTGGATATGTCACACCCGCAAACAGATAGTCAGACGGAACCACATCGGTTAAGTTATTATTCGAAAACATTTGTAGGAATTAAATGAATTCGAGTTTAGCATTTATATGTGGCAGACATCGACTCCAAGCTCGTGATCAGATAAGCAAACACCTTTTTCTAGTTTACAATGAAGAGTTTTACATCGAATCGCTCCAATTTCGAGGATGTCAGTAGATGTTAAATTAGCCGAGGAATGCCTCTCTACTGAATGCAGATTATAGCTGGCATTTCATAATAATTGAAGGTCAACAAGATATTTGTTCTGGAACTATACTTACTCTGTAATATCTGACGTTTATACAGCCATTACTTCATTGGCACACGAGCACAAGAACCAAGGCTCAGACATTGTATTTTTTTATAAAACGTTTGACTTTTTAAGGCCTGATCAATGCGGGAGGAGGACTTATCGCGATAATCTCGTCGTCAAGGGTGATGTAATAATATGTGTTGACAGCGCTGGCTCCATCGCATACGATATTCCATGTTCCAATGGCTTGGGAAGGATCCATTAAAATCGACGCGTGTTCGGGGGATGGAGGACTGCTAAACGTGTCCGCAGTGCCGTCAAAAATCTTGAGATAATCGATGCAGTAAGGAGAATTGATAGGTACGAGGACACCGAAGGACTCGGTTGTAATGAGATCATCTATCCATGGCCAAAAGAACGAAATACTCGTGTTCTCTAGAAATATTGAGTTTAGTGTCGAAACAGGGTTTACATAACGAGGTAGCTCAGTAATGTTTAAATCTGCAAGTCCCAACGTTCGGAGGCCAGGAATTTCAAACACCTCGGCCGGAACGTCTGTAATGGGATTGCCGGTTAGAGCCAAGTATTTGGGCTCAAGACGCAACAGCACTGGATAGACACTCGTGAGCTGACTGTACTCAATCAAAAGTGTTGCAGTTCGAGGCCATTTCGAGTCCAAGTCGTCCGGAATCATTCGCAAATTTGTGACACAAAGTGCAATGTCAAAGAGATTCGAGGGAAAATCAATCGATTGAAAACCGGGAGGCAAAACACCGTTCGTCATATTGACGCGTACAATGTAAAGTGAGAGAATGTCAGGATGATTCATGCTTGTAAATGCAGCAGATTCATTCCATTCGACAATCGTCGTATTGTATACCTTCACGCCATGGAGTTTGTGGAATTCGCTGATTAATGATGGCATACTTAACGCTGGACAATGGCAAATGAGGAGCTGAACGACACTAGAGCTGTCGAATTCACTCCATACTTTCTCAACCTCTTCGATTCGACCTGAAATTTCCAATGTATGACAATCTAGACCGACTAAATAACAGTATGGACGTGAAGTTGCCCACGGACGTACTTGAAGTAAGCATTGACGGAGCGTTGGCTGCACTGATGCATGAATGTGAAGCCCTAGCACCAGAATGCCCCATATTCCAAAGAGTAAATGGGCCGCACGCAGCATGAATCGCGCACATTGAGTACGTAGCTTGGTACCACGATAAGTGTCCTTAGATTCAACAAGAAGCGTCATCTTACACTGTTCGTCTTTCAGTGTCGATGTTTCTGCTTTCAAATTGGGCGATGTGGGGACAACTTTACATAGTGTGCTCCCCAAAATCTGACCCTTTATCGTACCAGCACCTGAAGAACTCATTGGAGTAGTTGTGTGGTCTGCATGTCGTTGCAGTAATTCCTTCATATTCGTTGTCGTAAGTAGCAAGCCTAATGCGAATACAACTCGACTTGCAAGATCTGTCCATGAAACGACGAAAACCAACCGGAACTCATTCAGAGCTCGCGCAGCCCACTCACCATCTTGCCACGTATAATCCCAAAACCCTCGCATCTCCAAATCGTAGTCTTTTGCATAACGTAAGACAATCATGAGCTCCACACCCATACATGCAATGAGGTCAAGAACACAATCCAAGAAAATACACGTAAAGCGTCTAGACGCTTCATCCCATTTTAAAAAGATTGAGTAGACTACAACTGATGACCAGCAATTTATTGCTAACATAAGAACAAAGAAGCGATTAAGCAGCACATTTGGTAACAATTGGCTCATGCGATACGCCTGATAAGTTTGCAAGCCTGTCTCGATGATTTCTCGAAGAATGAGTAGAATATGAAAATGCATTCCATTGACCCCAAATAGACCATGACGATCCGATATTGTAGAGTAGATTCTTGTAATACTTCGAGCGACAAACGAGCTATTTCGTGTTGAGCTTACATCGTCATTCTCTTCTTTTGCCTGACAACTTGCCCACGGAGTAAAGGCAAGAGATCGCTGCCATATCGATCCACCTAGCATCAAAAAAATACATATTGCATGAAGTGCAGACATTAAAGCGTGAATAATGGCGATTCCACGGTAGTACGGTGGTGGTAAACCAATTTCATAGTCTTCAAGATAATTGTTCAGATACGTGTGCTTTAACACCCAATATGAGTAGCTGTATAAAGCAGTATAAATACAAGTAATCACATGAATGCCAAATAGAAACATCCACCATAATGCAAAGGTCCAATACGAAAGCTCAACAACTTCCGAGACAGCATTCGGTCTTAGCCTTTCCGACATGGGTTTTCTGATCTACTGGTAAATCTTCAATTAAGCGCACAATAAATAATAACTCAATTATTTTTTTCTAAATATGGAAGCATCTAAGTATGGAAACACCTTCGCGTAAATTGGTCGATTCAAACCAAATAATAATCTCATCGACCATTTGACTTACTTTTTATTGAAATGAAAATAAGTTTTATCATCGATACAAGTGCACGTAAATCAAGTCGTCTAGGTGTTGAAATGCTCAGCTTTTACACTAGACGATCTACTTACGATACCACAGTACTTGCGATTCTTAGTATTATAGCGTATGATTTATCAATGGTAGAATTTCTCAACATAAGACAGCTATAGTTAGAAATCGTACATTGCTAGGGTTTATTAAGCGACCTTATTCCGAGGAGAAAGAGATAAAGCTATGCAGTAAGCTAGAAACCCTTGTATTTTTGATTCTCCTTAAATTTTGTTCGTCACTGTCATTGCTGTAGATCATACCATCTTTGAGAATTAATGCTTTCACAGTGCATCTACCAGCATCCTTTTCTTTGCATATCGCCGAAAAGCCGGAGCATGTGCAAATCTGACAGTGCATAGCGTCTGTAGATGCGTTGTGCGTATGGTTGCTGATTTATAAGCCTCGTTGTTAAGCTCTTCGTGTTAACTCAAAGACTGAATGAAACTCTACAATTTCTTGAATGCCATTAATGAGCCATGTTGTGTGTGGGCGAAGGCTGATGGATCGAAGATGACGATTTGCTCCTAATATTTTTATCACTTTTGGCCTCTGAATTTATCCCATTTCGAGCATCAGCGCTAAGTCATGTCTATTTGCTTACAAATTATTAGAAATACAGACATTTAACGCGGTAATGAAGATCACTATACTATGACGTCGAGGCATTCAAATGCTTGCAAGGCACAATCATACAAGGCCTGATCCTTGATCAGCCGTTTCATATGCGAATTGCGCACGACTTTTCGTTTTTGATGTTTCCGCAAATTTGGCAGAATAATCAACCACATAAGCTTGAAAGGGGGAGTAGGTCGTAAGCGTAATGTCGAAAAGAATAATGGATAAGGGTGAAGCGAACGGAGCGCATGTGAATGAATGGTGCCGAGGCAGCTAGCTTTCGCGCCATTTTTAATACCAACGCATATATTTTCACTCGCGCATTTAAGCTGCGACTGCAATCTCCACAATCTCCAAAAGTGCACTCAAGCAGCCGTACAAAACCTGTTTCTGCTTGAATATTCGTGGAGTTACGCTAAGACTAGAGCGAAGCCAGCATCAACGGAGATAAGTAAAGCTTTGATTCATGCCAAGCGAAAAAGATGATCCCAGCCAAACTATAAAATATCATTCAAGTTGCAAACACCGTTTGATTGCACAAGAGCATACGAGGTGAAAGCGTTATCTTTGTGTCATCATCCCCTTTCATTATGTTTATACCCTTTGCAGAGTAATAAAGGACCGATCTATTGTGATAGAAAGGGTAACTCTTTTGTATTTATGAATCAGTTTACTTCTCGTTCAGCCCACCGCTAACGTGTTTCATTCAGTAAAGTAAAGGCTATATCTGCATTGTAACGGCTGTTGTTTTGTATATATATATACATGTCAATATTTATAAGTCAACAGAACTATGAGAATAAACGTGGGTTGTTTATTAGAAAGTTTTGATATATTCGTCACATTATAGAATAGACAAGGTTAGCAAGCATAACACACCCATGCGACGTTGAAATTACTCGAACATTGTCATGACACGTGTTTGTCTATTTCTTGCATCTACATCTCTAGAAGCAAAAGACTTTACACTTCTTCATTTTTGAAGAAATCAAAGCATCTTTCCAAAATATTATGTGATAAAATTTTACTCTCTATTGATCATAAATAGTTGTATACAATATGCTGTTCAATTCCTTGTTATAGTGACAATCGAAGTAATCGAGTGTCATCAATAAGCTGCTGCTGACGTAGCTGCAGCTTCAAAAATCGATTTTGTCGCATCCCAATAGCGATCTCTTCCAATCGTGTAACAAGCTGATGGTGTGCAAATTCCGCGCTATTTCGGTGGTGTTTCCAGCGTTGGAACGCTACAAACTGCTTACCATGCCGCCAGTAAAACAAAATGCTTTTGAGTAGTTTCAGAGTTGGCGTCGCAGCTTCGTGTGGAGATTGCTGGGCAATATATCGCCAGATTCCAAACGCTGACTGAATAGTTATACTTGCACCCTCTGTCATGTTTACAATGTCGCTACTTATTGTCTGCTGCATGCGACTATTTGCTATTTGGCGGAGCCACCGAGAGATCACAAGATGAACAAGTTGAGTCGGATTAATCACAAATGCAAATGTCTGACAACGACAATGTGAAGGATGGACCATCCCTAGCTCCTGTTGCAACCACCAAGGACCAGTTAGCTGTCGATTGTGTTCATTATCCGTATCGCCACCATAAGGTCGCTGGAATTTTACACAAAATGTCGACTTTTGCACCATCGATTCCTCATGTATCAAATTCAAATCTTCTTCTAACAGGTGAAAGCTGTCACCGCTCTCATACACCAAATTCTCATTTCTACTTTGGTCAATAACTTCTTGCTCGTTTGCACAGGCAATGTACAGCCCACTAGCATGGAGAAGGTCAGAAAATCGAATTGCCGTAATTCGCTTCAACAAGTTGACATTAAGTCGTCCACATTCATTTTCCAGTAGCATTTCTTCATCTTCAACACTAGCGACTTCAAATCTATTATTAAGATGGTCCCTTTCGCTAGTATAGTCGTCCGAGATGGAGCTTAAGCGTCTTTGTGGCGATATTGCAGCACGATAGGTATCGTACTGATCTCGAAACCACGATGGATATGGTAAAATGCGATGATTTGGCGCTTCATGACCACAAAAGGTACACACTTGTGATACTGCACACACTGCGTATTCAAAACTTTTGCAGCCACAAGATTCACCATCACCATCGCAGTGAAGATATGCACGCGATCGTTTGGTCACAAGTATGTGCTGTATTAATGTGCGCCACGCAAAAGAAGGAACCAAATGTAGTGTATAGTAGAAACACGCCTGACCTTCGTATTCTCCTTCTAGTCGACACTTTAAATTCTGAATGAGAAAGCACGCATTGTCGATACATCCTGCGGCAATAGCATACGATACTGCAGTATTTCCGAATGCATCAAGCGCATTTACGTCACAATCTGCTCTCTCAAGCAGCATCGACATGATTTCCCTTGCTGCAGTAACATTCGTAAAACATGCAGCACGGTGTAGTAACGGTACATTTGTTCCATCGCCGGATAATCGACCAGAACAAAATTGTGCTTTAAGTAGCATTAACGTCATTTTGGTATACATACTGCTTGGATGTTTTGCAGCAGTATACAAACACTCGATACTTTCGTTTTCGTTCAAATATGTCATAATAGGTGCATAAGTTTCGAGGATCCAAGTGAATGCATCAATTGAACAAGCTTTGATTGCACATAAAAGAAGGTCTTGCATTGAAACGCTTGGTTGACGTTGCACTAGTGATAATGCTTGCAAGTGCGAGACTTGGTTGTTACTCACTGCAGAAAGCCAAGGATCGTTGAGAACGAGATAACGTTTGTACCCGGTAGAATTCTCGTATGCTTTCGGTTGTATTGAAGATCTAGTTGTCGTGATTCCATTTAATTCAATGATATTTCGAAAAAGACCCATGAGATCAAGCTTTTTTTTCAAAGCACGGTTCATGAAACTCTTTTTGGATGATGGAATGTCGATAGCTAATCTCATGTCGGTTCTAATTGAAATTTGAGAAAAAAGGAATTGATACAAGTGACGATGTCCGAATAGTCGACAAAGTTCTAACGGGGTACATTCGTCTTTGTTTTGACAGCAATTGATCTCTTGACTGAAAAAGTGATGCCAAACTTGAGACTGATTCATTTCAGAGACACAAAATTTGGCAATTTCAACTGCATTCCAGCGTGCAATACAGTGTAGCATACCTGTCATTGCAAAGATGCCAGAATCTTTGTGCTTTCCACTATGAACATCACATTCGATATAGATCTTTAGTAAGCGCTTCATAATATTCACCGAATTTGTCGGGATAGCACCTTTTACTATCAAGGTCGATACCAAGGTTTTTCTGTCATTTTCATCTAGACTAAAAAGATATTCTTCTGAGACGTTAGAGAACAACTTTCCCACCAAATTCTTGTGACTGTTGTGCATTGCTACACCAACAAAGTCGCTCCAACACATACTACGCTCAATTCCAGATGGAAGACGCTTAAGCAGCCACAGCATGATGTCGCAACGATCATGTACGACAATCCACTGCACCATTGTCTTACCCCCAACTCGTAGCTTTCTTATCGCTGAAAAGGTATCACCTGTTTCTTCAAAAGGATCTTCTTGATATGTAATATCAAAGCATCTTTTTACAAGATCTAATGCGAGATTTAAAGCGCACAAGTACACAATTGATCGTGCAGAAGCAACGCTTGTTGAATCTAAACCATTCACATACTTCGCTTCAACTTGGACCGAGTCTTCAATCAGTAATTTTACGGCACATTCGTTTATGAATTCGTGGTTCTGATCCAGCTGCTGATCTTGATTACGAGTTTGAAAGCCTCTTGATGCCGAGTAAAATGCAAACACCCTATCCAGCAGAATATTTAAAGGCTTACATGTTTTCAGAACAACTAACGCACAAGTAAAGTCTCCTCGCAATACAAGCAGTTTCAGCCAGCTTGTCGCCTTAAATTGAATCCATCTCTCATCATATTCCTTGTTCCGTTTCCAATACTCAAGCAGCTTGTCAATACTTAGCAGTACGATATCATCGTGCTCTTTCATTAACATTGTATCGTTTCTAGCTTGAACATCTTTATTGACTCTTTGCCGAAGGACTAAGCCCAAACAATATTCGAGGAGATCCAATGCACAGTGACCATTGTCAGAATGATTACAGAGATCCAAAGTCGTTGGTGAGCACATGAATTTGAGATGTTCACTACTGATCTTTCCCATTCCATCGAGTCTGGCTCTTGAATTCTCCCAACTCTTCATGGTGTGATGTATACATTTCCATGGTGAATCGCCTTGAATCAAATTGTGGTCATACCCCGTCCATTTAGCTTCCGGCATTTGATTTAAAAAGTTTCGACGTTTGATTAACCAAAACTTGCACAAGATGACAAAATGGGTTTGAAGGAATAGCATCGTTAGAAATTCAGAATTATAGGCAACATGCTCAATCTCACTCAATTGCAAAAGTATCGTTTCAGCCTCTTTTGGCATCGTTGCAGGTATCGAGAAACACCAGTCCAAAAGCCTATGAATACTAAGTTGCTCGGCACCATGCTGACGCAAGATTGATATGATATTTGGACACCAAAGCGAAAATCGAAGCCCTTCATCTAGAGCCGAATGACTACATTCCATGATATTATCACGAGCTCTTTCGTCATCATAGATTTGGTCAGGAGATGCACCGTTCATGAGCAGCAGCGAAGTGATCGCCACTCGATCGTTATATGTTGATTTCGATTCATACTTTAGCGCGCACATACGCAAAGCAAGTAGCAAAGGAGTCAAAGGATCATGTTCGCATTGATTTGTTGAGAGAAAGAGGGATCGAGTCATATTATCGCATGAAGAGAGTTGGCACTGGTGACAGTGTCCACCATATTTCCGACATCCCCACTCGTTTTCTCTATTCAATGGTTCATCCTTTTTATCTTCACCTTTCATCTTCGCACATTCCATCTCTATTGATGACGTATGATGCTTACTTGAATGCTGTGTCCAATACCATAATGCCTCGACCGGATGCTGCACTTGAATCCAATCCAACAATTTCTTCTCAGGTCTTTTTATCTTGTCGCGTTGACTGGGAAAAGGCTCACTTGCTAAAGCTTTCGTTACTTTCTGAAGACAGCAACGTTGAAACACAATACCACAAGGTGCCCAAGAAGCTTTCTCCTTTGCTTTATAATGCAAAGATTGCGAGTTGGAAGCCCAAATATCGGCACCTAAATCAATGAATTGTTGCACCAGTTCAACGCGGCCTTTCCAAATAGCGAGATGAAGCGGTGAGATTCCATCGTGGTCGCAAATGTGTAGCACTGCCGGAAAAGATTGCACAAAGAGCATAGCAATCTCCGAGCGGACAGTAGAATTATAGTAACCAAGCATGCTCCAATGTAAGCAAGTTCGACCTCGAACATCTTGAACGAGGACTAAATCTTCAGCAGTTTTTTGAAGTTGATCTTTACAAGTTGATGGTGATTTACCAAGAAGCATTCGACATATATCCAGAAAGCCTCGACGAGCAGCACAATGCAATGCTGTGCAGCCTGCAGAATCTTGTATCAGGACGGAGATTCCAATCGTTGAGATGAGATAAGACACAAGATGTAGCTGTTTATTCTCACAAGCTTCATGCAATAGCGTTCGCATTAAAGCATCCAATTTCCAGTCTTTTGTCGTGCACCCGTACACCTTCACTATCGTTTCCAATCGCTTTAAGTCTCCAAAGCGACAACAATCCCAAAAGTCTCCACGACAGCGCATATCCAATGCTTTGATACTGTCCTCACCTTTTTCACCAACATTTGCTACAACCTCTTGACAAAACATTTCCAGCATATGATCCGCTAGCTTCCAAAGTCGTCGATTGCGTTTACTCCTTAATGTCATAACATTCGTATCCATGTGTGTCCTAGAAGTCTGCCGAGCTAACGTTGGGAATTTCTCTAGTACATAATGCAGTGGTGTCCGATATGAATTGTCTCGAGTATGGACTTGTAGCCTCCCATCTCGACGTCGCAATAACATTTTTACAATCTTAAATCGCTCAGTAATTACAGCGTGATGTAGTGCAATTCGTCCACATGCATCACGTTCTAATTCACACACGCCTGGTGTATTTAAAAGTGTGTGAACAAGCTTTCGATCTCCACAAATGGACGCATGATGCAACGCTGGGAAGATCTGGCAGCATTCATATACCACTTTACGACGTTGTAATCTTGTTTCTAGAAACATCTTATAGTTTCGAAATCCTTTCCAAGGTTTCTTGCAAATACTCGTTTCAAAAGCATCTTTTTGTCGTTGAAAGCGACTTTTGTGACGCTTGTAAACGCATTCTAAGCGTTCGTCTTCAAAAAGAAAAACGTCACTTGATAAGACAGGGGATGAAGCTTCGAGGACAGCGTTGGAGGTTGAAAATGCTAGATTCATGATTTCGAAGAATAGCTTTCAACAATTAGAGTTTCAAGCAGTTAAGTGCATTACGACCTTTCATGAAATAAATACGAACTCTACTATCTATACTCTACTTCATCTCACAAGAGACGTCAACAATTCGTCCGATAGTGAATGGGTCTGGAAATCGAATGCGTTTGGCATGTAGATATAATCGATTAGCTGGAAGGCCACCATATTTAAGATCCCCCACGATTGGTGCACACAGCTCCTGAGCACAATGTACACGTAATTGATGCTTTCGTCCAGTAAGAGGTCGGAGCTGCAGCCACGTGCCTATCGGTTGAGTCGGTTTTATTTGTTGGAATACTCGCTCCACTAATGTACTTGCGGACTTGCCATTTATAGGAGCATCAAGGTTTTGTCCCTCAAATTCGATCAAACTCGCACGTGTTGTCGACTTTTGAGCAACCAGCGCCTCATACGTTTTCAATACACGACCACATCGTAATAATTCCGAGAACTTGGCAGCTGCAAGTCGAGAGCGTGCGAGTACAAGCAGACCGGACGTCTCCTTGTCTAATCGATGGACTAATTTCAAATGTTGTTGTTCCTTATAATCACTCAAAGACTCTGCAATGTATGGCAGATAGTGCGTTAAAGATTCAGTCAATGCCGAGCCGTCATGTACTGCCAGTCCATGTGGTTTGTCAAGCATTATAAACTGTGTGTCTTGGTATACGACGCTTTGTTTCAGCTGTTGTAGTCGTGTTTTGTGCAAATTTAACTTCTTTTGTGGCATCTTTTGGTTGTAATGATGTCCGATAGAAGGTTGGAATTTGGAATGAAAGAGATGAGCATCGATAGCAATCACATAGCCTTCAACGAGGAATGTGTTGGCCCGAGTTCGTTGGAAAGTCGATGTGAATGGCTGTAATTGAATCTTGCGCTTGCGCAATTGGTTTTGCAAGAAACTTTGTGGTAGATTTGGAAATTGAAGACGCAACCAACGGTCCAGACGAAGCTCTTGGTCCTGCGCTCGTACAATGTGCCGTACCCAACGTTGCTCTTGTATCCACATGTGATATCTCACGAAATGATCAGAATGTAAAATATTGACTTTTACCGAGCTAGAGTTGTGTAACAACACATATTTTGCATAGAAAGCGCGCTTAAACATGAGGTTAACTCGCTCTGTTGTATCAAGCATACATCTGCTCTTTTCAGACTGAAAGTAAAATTTATCCATTTTCTATCTTTTATAATTCGTAAGGAGACCAGCTTGCTCTATTGCAAATGTTTCACGCCGACACTTGCTTAATTCACGTCGTGATTAAGGTTTTGAGCCTTACGAAGTTGGTTGGAAACTCCGACATTCTATGCATGTGGGCCTTCCGCTCACACCAGAGCAAACGAGCACGAAAAAGTCGCTCCGCGTGCGCTTTCTCAAATCGCTGGCTATCCTACTCCAGTACCTTATATCTGCGCATAACGCAGCAGCAGCTGGGAAAAGCCATGCTCCATAGGAATAAAACTTGGATACAAAAAGCTGGTGATAGTGGCGCTGAATTTCAAACTTAAATCGCATGATGGATGAGGAAAACGCACTTCCTCTACCGCCTTATCACGATTTCAGCAAGTTGGACGCCCGCGTAGCGCATCATCTTATGCTTGACTTTGCAAAGTGTAAATAATGAAAAGGATGACAACACATCAACTCAGCTTCTCTCCAACATAACCTTGCTCGTCTCCATTAGAAAGCTGTAACAGCTACTGACCAAATATTTCAACTGCAAGGTTGGTTCCCTCACACTAGAAAAAAGTGCGCTGCGACGAAAGGTGCATTACTTTGTTGCAGATGTGGTCGAGTTGATACCAGCAAGTCGTATTAGATCGACAGCAAAAAAACAGCACCCCCCTGGGCTGAGTCAAATGCACCAAGGAATCTGCCAATCTTTTATATATGACGGGGTAAAGCTTGTAGATGCATGTATTTTTCAGCGCAAGCTCAATAAGTGTGGGTTACTTGCTCCAGCACCGCAAATTCTCCGCGCAAGTGCTCCGACGAATGTCCTCGACACAGCGATTACCGAACTCCTATCGACCATACTTTGTGGATAATCGTTGTTTTACATGTCCAACCCGGTGGCGAGAATTTTGCTACAAAGCGGGGATAGCAATCCGATGCAATGTACACTAGAAAGCCACGTCGGCAAAAGAAAATGGCGAAGAACAGCTTGGATGTACCCTCATCGGTCACATATTCGCTGACAGCAAAGACATAAGCCATGTTGCTCAGTCGTCCACACTTACCACAATACTGGTATGATCAGACGCGTTTTTTTGTGAGACCAAAAAAAAATCCAGCCGATGGGCTATCAGCACTTTGCCGTTACCAATAGGCTGGCCAAAGGAGGCGTCGTATTAGATTTTAACCAGTTGACATTATCACACTTGAGCACGTACGCGCTTGCATACTCAAGCATATTGAGCTACCAATACCTAAATCGCACTATAAAATATGTTTGTTCTTTTCGAATGACCACCTCATACGGTATCTTGTGCTTCGTGTAGTAAAATGCACTATAGGTATCAACAGCCACTGCATGTCATTTGGGTCAGTGCTGTAACACCGCAAACCTTGATGAGAAAATGTACAGACATGCCACCAGCGCTGCAAAAATGGGGCATCAAAATACTTAAACCCCGTCATTTCTGTAGCTTTCATCAGCACAGCACGTGCTGTGATTACATGTCTGACTCGTACGCTTTACAAGCCTCCCTATCAATTCATCGACGTCGCCATCGTGACATGCGACAATTCATATTCGGGCCGACAAAAAAGCGCATGTACCATCACATTAAGCCGACACGGCTTATACTAGCTTCAAACGTATACTCAACAGAAGGAAAAACGCTCCTGCAATTTTATGTGAAAAATATGTCGACGTCGTCGCTGTGTATAGCCATGATTGATTCGTGTCGATCACAGAATGTTTTGAGCCAAGCGGTTACGTGTCCACTCGTAGAAGGCATAAATCATTACAAGTAGCTCCTTATGACTAGCATAATAGTTTCTCTCAGCATCTTTCAGCTGACGCAACTGGAAAGCCATCACATGATTATACCCATTGCATCTGCTGAACAAAGCGCAGCCTATAAGAAGTAGGTCAGCGTAACAAAACAGTAATCTAACCGGTTTTTACGCGAAGGACTGGTATAGTCCCGTAAGTCTGGGTTCATGAAGCGCCAGGTGTCAACTAAACCCAGTTTTCCAAGCCATTCGTCTAGTTCGTCTCGGCCTCATCTGAGACGAGGCCGATTTGCAGCCGTAATCATCCATAATATTGAAATCACAAACAACAATGTGTCTAATACTGTCAACCGTATCCACCTCGCGGTCCACTGCCTCAAAGTGAATAGGAAGAGCTTGAAAGATAGTTCCACGAAACATGGGTTCATCAGGTGCATACACTACGTGTAAGTACATCAAATCGCCTCCTCAAGTTGCTTGAAGTAGCAAGTAACGCATGCACAGTTGTTGTTTGTAGACGCTAGCCGTGATATCAATAACCTCTCCAAATAGAGAGGAAGAAAACAACACTAGTCCCACTCCATGGCGCCCGTTAAATGTTGGGGACGTAGAATGAGACCAAAAGCAGCGTGTTCCAGAATCCGCTTCATGTACAAAGTGCTCGTTGATTTGAATCTATTTCTTCTTTAGTGAAATTCATCTCTTGAAACGCATCCAGCAGATACGCAGAGAGAAGTCGCTCATACATAGTGAGCGAAGGTTTGTTCATTCCATTCATGTCGAGCGAAATTTCTTTTAAGGCCAAGCCTCTTTAGAGTTGAGGGCGTATCAAATATGAAAACGCGGTCTCAACCGTAGTAGATAACTCCAGGTCGCTAAGGTACTTTAGCGCTGCGAAAACATTTGGAGGTGTGGTGATGTGACCACGAAGATGTTTGGCAACATCTGTACGAGCAATCCCCATCAAAATAAGGTCGATCCATAGTAAAAATGGAGCATGTCGAATCCTCTTCGGAGCCAGCTACTGCGGAAGCAAGCAAGGCTTGTACCATCAATAAATCGAAATAGTTAGACGGCGCGAAAATCATCAAGAACAAGTCGCTTAATGCGCAGTGACAACCAGCATACCGCTTCATCCGGGATAATTGCCTCCAGTATCGCATCGGGATTAGGTGGTGTATCACCAAAACGAGAGCTTAACCGGGACAAGAAATCGTCCGGTTGTCTGGTCTAGGCTGGTTGAGCACATATAGTGCGATAGATCGCATGATCTGTCACAAGGTGTTGCTGCTGTTGAAGAGAGATCATGAATGGCTGGCGAAAGCACGCCGGCTGCGCTTAAATAGTCGCCAACGCATCTTCATGCGATGTGTAGCTAAGCACGTCAGTTGCGATAAACTCGACTATTATTTTGTCGAGTTCCGCTGGAGTCGCTTGCTCGACTTTAAGCGGCATCCGGCGCGCTTGTTTGAGAGCACGGTTGAAGACATGGGAACCAGAGAAGTGTCTGTTGTGGAACCGTGAATCTCTTCACATTCTTACGATTCGTCTATACACAAATCAACGTCTGGTGGCAACGAGGTATCATAGCCGTCCGCAACACTTCATAGTGGTTGGGATGCACTGGCGATGAATAGCTCAAGGCAGACGAGTCATGATTGTCAATAGCCAGGTCGCACGGAACAGGCGTTCCTGGCTCGATAAACTTGGCTCCATTGCCGTCAAGAACACCATACTGTGAGTACTGTACCACCTTCCATCCAGGCGCATCAGTAGACACCATACCAGGGATTACTGTATGAGTCCGAGGTCTGGCCGATCGTGGTGCAGATGGGCTGCGGTGAGCCGTCGTAGATGGCACACCAACTGGTGTTGTACTACACGGCTTGTCCGACGGCGATTGCAACACTGAAGGAAGAAAAGATCCCAAGGCGACATCTGATTTTACCAGGACAGGAGACTGGTCCAGTGTCGCCGAGCCAGGTGTAGAGTCCGCATGCGTTGGGACAGCAGCAGGTGCGTGTACTGTTTCTCCCCCCAGCATACATACATCGGACGGCTTGCGTGCGGATGGGCGAAGTGTCGGCGGGCGTATGTAATTGTGCTTGTGAAAACGATTCTGATCGAAACATGGCTTGTCGTTTACGTCGAAGTAGATTTTTCGCATGGGTTACCCGTCCGGTTCAAACAAGCCAGGTGGGCATGAGACTGCATTGAAGTCTAGTATATAGTACGAGCTCTCGAATTGAGCATGTCGTGATCATGATTCGCCGTGATGAGAACAGGTCGTGCGTCACGATTCACAAACCAGTTGTAGATGTCGCGATCGGGCACGTTGAACGGAAGGCGTTGAAGATCAACAGAATACAGCTTGTCAAAAAGTGAATACTTTCGTAAGGTTAGTAACGTATCGTATACTTAAGTGTAACACCCTCAAGGCACCGAAGCGCTTTTTCTGACGTGCAGACGAACCCAGTACTTTGATGAGGAATGCGGGCAAAGCCCCTCAAACAACCCAAGTGTAAGTATTTACGCCATAGTTCTGGCTGGTAATCCGCCTTTAAGGGTCGTCTATGTTACGCTCAGCTGTTAAACGTTCAGCTGGGATCCTCATACGGATGCAGTTCTTTGCATCGACAGGCGGTAGCGGGGAGTAGCGCAAGCGCTTTTTGGCAGCGCC